AGCGGTTCGAGCTTCAGCGTCCCACAGTACAGCGCACACCTCTTGCTGTTGACCACAGACTTACTGGACCCTTTCCTGACGAGCCGTTTGAGTCTAGTGGTCCCTACGCAGAGCTAGTGGGCTGCCTCATGTACCTGATGACTTGCACTCGCCCGGACCTCGTCTTCCCTCTCAGCATCCTTGCTCGCTTTGTTGCGCCAGGGAGACACCGTCCTGTTCACTGGACGGCAGCTGTGAGGGTGGCGAAGTACCTAGCGACGACATCAGGCGTGGGGCTAGTTCTTGGAGGGCAGCAGCCTGTCGTACTTACTGGTCACTGTGACTCTTCTTACGCTGACGACGCTGAGACTCATAGGTCTACTCAGGGGTACTGTTTCAGCTTGGGTTCAGGAGCTGTTTCGTGGCGGTCCACGCGCTCCTCTTCGGTCTCGACCTCTACAGCTGAGGCTGAGATCTACACTGGTGCCATGGCGGCACAGGAGCTGCGTTGGTCGACATTCTTGCTCGCCGACCTTGGTGAGCGGCCGAGCTCAGCACCGACCTTGTTCACTGACAACAAGGCGTCGATTCTCCTTTGTCGAGAGCCGCGACTGGAGAGCAGAGTGAAGCACATTAACGTCAGGTACTTTCTTCTGCGAGAGTTGCAGAGACGTGGACAGGCTCGCTTCGAGTTTGTGGAGTCCGAGGCCAACACTGCAGACATCTTCACCAAGGCGCTTCCGCCTTGTGACCACCAGAGGTGTTGTGTGCAGTTAGGCCTTGTTGACACAGTTTCTACTCGTGTATAGGCTTGGGTCTACTGTTTGCTTTGCTTGTACTCTTGCTATACACACTTGTGAACTCTCGAACTGGCCTTGTGGCCCCTGTTGCTTGTGCTCAGAGTGTGTGGTGACGTTGTGATCCACCCTGAGCTTTGTTTCTTTGTGACTGGTCTTGTGACCGTACACTTTTGGTTTTGCTTGACACCCCTCACTTAGGCTATGGGGGTGTGTCAAATGTTGTAGCCTGTAGTGAGGTTTGTCTTAGGGGGTACAGATGTTAGGGCTTGTTATATGTACCCCAACCCACATCAATGAACCAACACTTTCATTCTTGACACCAACAGTGCACCGTTACTACTTGCGGCACTCGCGTCGACCACTGTTCCCGCGACTGTTCACGACGCGACCCAACCTCACGGTTCGGTTGGTAACCCGTGCTCCGGCCCTCCGCCTCGACATTTCCCAACCTCGGCACTAGGCCTGTAGCGCACCCCAATTCCTCGCGTTACCGTTACTACGCTAGCTTCGCTATATAACCTTCGCTCTTTCCTTAGCTCAATGTACTGTTTTTGCTTCGATAGTGCAATTCTCGCTCGCTCGCTCGATTGCGCTCGTAACAGTAACCAAGAATTGCTGCGTATGGTCCCTTGAAGCCGTGTCCGTCTGTGCGGAAGGGACATCTCGCGTTGTACACGCGTTTGACGCGCTAGTCTTCTGGCATCAATTCCGTTTGCACAATAGCTCGCTTGTGTGTGTGATCTGGTCCTAGTGATCAGATGGGTTTGGGTTTGAACAGCTGCTCTGTCTGTCCACCTCAGAAATCCTGCTACAATCATTACATCTTCCCATATAGAACGGAAAGGGATCTACGCAAACCACTGAAGTCCTTGGCATCGATTTTGTTATGATGAAAGTCCCATGGGTATATCCAGCCTAAAAAATCTTTGCACAGGTCACGCACGTGGGTATCTGCCTTGCGAGCCCGCATTGGTTTTGCAGGTGACCCTAAAGCTGGGCTGGCCAGTTTTCCAAAACTTGTTGATTCCTGTCTTCCTGTCGAGTGAAAGAAATACATTTCTACAGCCGCTGATTGAGCACAGCACTCTGAGCAAAAATTTACCCTGAAAAGCGTGTGATTTTCCAGATATTCTTGGATTTTTTGTGGAGCACGTGATGCACGGAATTTGCGAAACTAAGAAATTCAACGCAGAACCTGGCAAACAGTAGGGAAGCTACAGTTTACTGTTACACATCCCCATTTTGATTAGTGTACAGTACTTTCTGTAAGCGTGCGTATTTCACTTGGACCCAAACCAAGCAGTGAATCTGGCGTGAACGGCCTGGGATGTTTTTGGAGAATCTTCAACAGCAGTGGACAGGGTTCAAGCTTTTGAAGAAGCTGTACTGTATGGGCAAGTTTGGGTCGACTCAAACTTCCTCCGAGCTGGAGAATCGGTTGCTTGATGCTGCTGCTGGCTGTTCTGGCTTTTCGTTACAGTACACTTGATCTGGCTCTAGGTGAGTGACTCACTTGATTGTCTGTGGTCGAGAGTGGTTTGATGAGTTGGTGACGGGGAGGGAGTAATCATTATCCCATTTGACCCCACCCATGTCCGAAGTGTATACTGTACTCCGTTAACCACAGATTTGCACGGTGTTTGGTGTTAAGCATAGATATCATCCTTGTGAAGGTTGACACATATCTTCCAAATGTTCACCTTATGCTTTCCGTATTCTATTTTTCCACCGCCCGCGTAATCTCGGGCAGCCCTGGGTGGGTTTCTTCAGGTACCCTTACTCCGATGTCATCATGATTGCACACCGCTCCAGCCTTTCGCTGGCTAACACTCTAGATTTTGGCACCAGCTCGTTTCGAAATATCCTACTGCATATCTGGAAGGATAGTGCGGTTGCATTAGCTCTGCTTGCTCGGTTGATAGACGAGACGAGAACTCTAAACGTCTGCAGGATTAGCCAAACATCCAATTATAGCTAGGGAGGATGTGCTCGAAATCTTTCATAAAAGAACGGCCTCATAAAATTGGAATTCTCTCTCTCATTAGGGCTAGCTTAGAATTCTCAGCGGGCACCATAAAATAACCATCTCCCTTCGCTGGCCTTACGGAGTGATTTGATTTTCCAAGCTGGCGATACCAGACGATGCCCTCATTTATGCCAGACTAGCCAAGCAAAACGAAGACAAGCCATCACCGTCGAGCAGACCCGCCACGATAGGCCAGATACACGTACAAGTGTTCTCGTTTATAGTCCGACGGATCAAATCGCCGCGCGCGGACTATGTGGGAAACCCTTCAAACCCCAGGCAAAAGGCCATACTTATAGTCCCGTTCAGGAAAATTGCTTGAGCGTGGTTGTTTCGCTACTAGTTTCTGGAGTTTGGCATTTACGTAGATTTGGACCGCGCTTGCTTCAACTTCCAGTCGCACGGTTTTCCACGCTGATCAATGTCGCATGACTAACGGTCAAAACTAAACAAAATCAACTATGGTTTGGGGGTCGAATAGTAACCCAAAAACTTCGTTTCTACCCTGTAAGCGAGATAAATGAGATGTCATCGTCGATCGCGCTGGAGACAGCGCGACAGGATTGAGAATTAGTTGCGGTCAAGAGAAACAGTTAATTACAATTAAAAAGTTAAAATATCGAATCGATGATCCCTTTTTCATCGTTTTCTTTGAATGTTGGGCTGGTTTGATCTGGAGCCTCTGATTGGCTGCGGAGCTGATTCGTGCAATGATTCGGTCAAGCTGCAAAATTTCCCGCCAAAAACGGGACTATAGGGGTCGGGCCAACCCTAGGCGATATCGGAAAATTCTACTCAGGGGGGAAAAGGGACTCTCTCAACGAGAGCCTCTAACCAGGAACACTTGTACCCGCATGCACTGATTCCAGCTCGAGCGAGGAGGGCTACAATCTGGCGGTAGCGCCTCGAGCTGGCCTGGGCTGGGCTGCTCGATTTGAGAGGTAGGGCCCTAAACAAAATCATTTTCTCTTTCATCCCGCTCTTGCTGATCGCGGACAAACAGCGAGACTCCGCCACACAAGTCCCCAGCAAGTCTTTCCAGTTGGCGATGCTACGTGTCCTTCACTGAACAGACTGATGAACACTGACGCAAGGCTGGAAGGTTGTCAAGCTTTAGTCCATTCCATCTTGAGCCATGCAATAAGAGTCACGACATCACTACCCACCCTTCCACAAGCGTCTAACCGATGCCAATGTCATCTCATGAGCCCATCGTTCAGAGCACATGAACCCTCACGTCAGCCGCGCAACCAAGCTTCACGGTGACTGACTTTCTCGTCCATTCGTCGTCCTTCCTCTGCACGTGCTCCATACTCCATGCCTCAATAATTTATAATTCGTTCTGCCGGCAGTTTTCGTACATTTCCTCTTCCAGCACAGCTCAGTGTTACTGTCCTGCGCATACTAAGAGACTCAGTCCTCAGCAGTCTCGTTCTCGCTCGGCTTGTTGCTCTCCTGGTGCTGTTTACTAGTACGCACTACCTCTACTAGAAACGTTTTTTCAACCAACTCGATCTTCAACGAGACGTCGGCAGTCACCCTGGATCAATCAACGCGCACTCGCACAGCGAGTGAGACCTTCAAGCTGCCTCGGTCCAGTCCGGTTCCGCGGCCGCCGCTACCGCTGCTGCAACTACCTCTGCCTGCGCGCTTCTATGGACGCCAATTATAATCCGTCAAAGTATAGCAATCATCTCGCCGAAAATCGGCTCACGACGCTGCTACCAGCGCGCGCTAACAAGCATCGGCAAATTCCGCCTGTTCGTTCCCTCTCCGCGGCCTCCGCCGCCTCCGCAGGGTCCTTTCCCCCCGAACCCTCCGCCTCTATCCTCGTTCCCGCCGAACCAACAAAAAGGCTATTATCTGCTCATAACAGCGCCCACATCGTTCCCGATCTTTTAGTTCTGGAGCGGTCGCATTGCCCGCCGCCTCCTGCGCCTCCGCGGCTGACGTCGCGCAACGAGACCAGCCAACGGCAGCGCATCAGCCGTTTTTTTTGCGAGGTGTCTGCCGAGACGGCGACTCACTCCGCCGCCGCCGCCAGCGCCGCGCGCTGCGGCTCTTCGCGCCGCAAGCGCGAGGACTCCGAGTCGGTCGCGACTCCCGCTCCCGAAGGTTCCGGCGCGGTCTTATTCGGGCATCGACTCATCCCGCACTTTCACGTCATCCCCCCGGCGTCGCTACCCGCAGGGATCATGTCCCGGTGGCATGGGGAAGACGGGGAGCTGCCTAGAAAACGACAGCGCGCGGCGCCGGAAGCCGCGGCGGGGGCTCCCTCCGCCCTGCAGGCATTCAAGAACGAACCCAGCGACAGTCACACCGCGGATCTCCGCCATCCCGCGCAGATGCCGTCGCCACAGCAGCTCTCGTTAACCGCGTCGACTCCTCTAGGGGACCCTCTGGGGCTTTCCCCGTACCCTTACGGGCCTGGCGCTGGTGTTGGCTCCGCGGGGGACACGAACCCGCTGAATTTGGGGACGCCCACGCGCGGAACCCGCGGCCTGTCCCCCCCGGCCGGTCTAGACGCCCGTCGCCGGTTCCATGGCTCCTCCTCGCTGTGGGCCTCCGCCGGCGGGGATAGCGTCGAAGGCGCCCTCGCCCCCGTCGGCGGGGCCGGCGCTGTCGGCGGAGCCGCGGGCACCGCGGATCGCCCAGAGTCAGCGAACGCGCGCGCGTTCTCCTTCCTGATGCCCGCGGGGAGGGGTGCGTCCGCCCTGCCTTCTCCGCCGCAGGTTCCGTGGACGGGCGGCGGGGGGAAAGGGAGGGAGGAGGAGGTGCAAGGGCGAGAGATGCAGCTGCTGCCGTTCGCGCCGCTCGATCGCGCGTTCCGCGGCCGCGGGGAAGGGGAAGCGAGGAAGGCGGAGGAAGGGGGCGACGACAACGGTGCGGTTGATCCGCGCAGCGCCGCCGACGGCCCGGGGTCGCTGACCCGCGGCGGCCATGGGAGGTCGGCGGCGAGCATCGGGGAGGCCGCCGCGTTCCGCCGCGCGGACACAATCAGCAGCAAGCCGCGCCGAAGCCACGGCGTGACGGCGTCCGCGCGAGACCAGCAGAGCGCCGCTGACGCGGCAGCGGCGCAGCACGCGCTGCGTCTACAGATGATGACTCATCAGATGCCGCTGTCCTTATCGTCTCAGCTACAGCCGGAGCGTGGTTCGATCGCTGTATCTGCCGCAACCCCTGCTGCCTCCGCTTCTGCCTCTGCTACAGTCGCCGGTGCCGCCACGCCTGGAGCAACCGCCGCCTCTGCCGCCGTAAGTGCCGCCGCCCACACCGCTGGTGCGGCCGCCACGTCAGCAGCTGCAGGTGGCCGGACCTCGCCCACGTCGCTGATGCTCGTTCCGCGCGCTCCGGCGGGGCATCTAACGCAGCGGGACCGCGTGCACATGAGTTTCAGCAATGCAAGCCCTCTTCACGCGGCTAATGCGGCGGCTACCGCGGCGGCAGCGGCGCAAATTGCTGGGGCGATAGGATCTGCGGCGACCCGTCCCTTCCTGGTTCCGGGGTCTGGATGGACCGCTGCGGCTTCCGCCACAGCCGCCACTGCCTCGAGCGCCGCCCCCGCCAGCGTCGCGCCAGCCGCCGCTACCGCGTCCTCTGTCGCGCACTCGGCGGCGCAAAGCCTGGCGCGCGCGCTCGGCGCGGGCGCGAGCTGGACGGGCCCGCGCAGGTTCCCCACGGGGCCGAGTGAGGGGGCGATTGCGTCCGTGGCGGACAACGGGGGCGCGCCCGCGGGCGCGGAGAGAGATACGGGGAATCGGGAAGCGCTCGCGGCTACTCTCGCTGCCGCTGCAGCCATGGCCGCTGCGGCGGTTGCTGCAGCAGGGGGGGAGGGCGGAAAGTGGCAGCAGGTGTGGCAGGAGATGCAACAGTGGGCGGCGCAAGGGGTGGCGGAGCGGGATGTGCGGGCGAGAGGGAGGGAGGTGTCATCGCATAATAGCAACTCAGGGCTGCAGCTGCAATCCCTGCAGCAGCAACAGTATCTGCAGCAGCAGCTCCAGCAGCAGCAGCAGCAGCAGCAGTTTACCAGGGAGCAGCATGCAACGTTCCCTGGAGGCGGTGTGGGGGGAGGAGCTATCTTACCTGTATGGTGGAACGACCACATGGCTTCCCTCATTGCGGCATCGCATGCTGCTGCCATCGCTGCCGCCCCTGCCGCCCCTGCTGCCCCCGCTGCTCCTGCCCCTGCTAATTTCCTCCCTGCAATGGTCCCCCCAGGGGCTCCAACCCCTCCTCTTCCCCCAGCCGCAGCAGCGGCAGCGGCAGCGGCGGCAGCAGCCGCAGCAGCAGCAGCAGCAGCAGCAGTGGCGTCGGGGGGCATGCACGCGCAAGGTGGTGTGGGCGTATCTGGAACACCTACCCTTTCCGCTCTTCAACAGCAGCAGCAGCCGAGGAGACAGCCCGTTACAGCTCCTCCCCCTGCAGCAACAGCAGCCGCCGTTGCCAGGACTCGAACTCCCCCTGTTCCCGGCTCCGCTTCAGCTGCAGTGGCCGACGCAGCAGCAGGTGCGGTGTTCAGGAGGAGCCTCTCTTTCTCTGCTGCTGGGGCTGCTGCAGCTGCAGCAGCCACGCCTGCTGGGACAGCAGGGGGGAGTGGTGGCAGTGGCAGTGGGGGTGCTGGGCGGCGTAGGCAGACCACGTCAGCAGGAACAGGCACCCAGATCACTTCCGCTGCCCCTGCTGCCGCTGCAGCCGCCGTTGCTGCCGATGCCTCTGCTAGCGCTGCTGCTGCTGAGGAGGGCGGATCTGCTGCTGCTGCGACGGCAGCAGGGGGGAGCGCAGGAGGAGCAGCGGCAGGGGGGAGTGTGGGGAGCCGGCATAAGCTGTGGTGCAGTGAGGACGGGTACAAGTGCAAGGAGTGCGGCATGAGGTTCAACAACGCACAGGCCCTGGGAGGACACATGACCGCACACACCAAACGGCGCAGGTCCAACTTCTCTGGGTATACCTTCAGTGATGCTGGCTCTACTCCTGCCTCCTCTGCACACGTGGCTGGGACCACCTCTCTCGCCCCGCCCCTCCTGCCCCCTGCTGGCGATGCCGCACGCACAGCAGCTGTGGGAGCAGCGGGAGAAGCAGCAGCAGGAGAAGGGAGGGTGGGAGGTGGCACAAGGTTGGCAAGTTTTGGAAAGTTGGGAGGGATGGCGCCTACTGCTCCTCCTGCGGCTTCTGGCGCTACTGCTGGTGCTACCGCCGGCCCTGCAGGTCCTACTGGTGCTGCTTCTGCTGGTGCTGCTGCTGGTGGAGCAGGTGGGAGGGGTCAAGACACAGGAGCGACAGCTATGATGGCTGCTGCTATGGCTGCGGCTGCAGCAGCAGTGGCAGCCGCATCAGGCGGTGGTGCAGCAGCTGCCGCAGCAGCAGCAGAGCCAGTTCTAGCCAGACTGCTAGGCCTGGGGTCACCCAGTGCACTCTTAGAAATGGCTCGGAGTGGGGCGATGCTGAGAGGGACTGGGCGGGGAGAGGGGGAGAGGGAGGTTGCTTTGAGAATGCAGGTTCAGGAGCAGCAGCAACTGCTGCGACTACAGCAGCAGCAGTTGCAGCAGCAGCAGATGCAGTTGCAACAGCAGCAGCAGCATCAACAGCAGCTGCAGCAGCAGCAGCAGCAGCAGCAGCAGCAGCAGCAGCAGCAGCAGCAGCAGCAGCAGCAGCAGCAGCAGCAGCAGCAGCAGCAGCAGCAGCAGCAGCAGCAGCAGCAGCAGCAGCAGCAGCAGCAGCAGCAGCAGCAGCAGCAGCAGCAGCAGCAGCAGGTGCGGCAGCAGCAGGCTGAGGAGATGAAAAGAGAGGGCGGGGAGGAAGTGGAGTGGGACCCCAAGAGTCTCTTTGCCTCTCAGCCCAATCGCACTCCCAGCAACGAATCACCACTGCAACGGTCACTCTCCCTGCTGAGTCCTTCACTGCGTGGCATGGTAATGCACGCACCAACGGCTCCCCTTCCACCACCCCGTCCTCCTACCGCTCCTCCTCCCTCTCTGCACATTCCTTCTCTCCCCACAACCGCTCTCATGCATGCCCTACAGCAACACCAACAGCAGCAGCAGCAGCAGCAGCAGCAGCAGCAGCAGCAGCAGCAGCAGCAGCAACAATACCAGCACCAAGAGCAGCAGCAGAAGCAGCAGCAGGAACTGCTATTCCAGCACCAACAGCTACTGCTCCAGCAACAACAGCTGCAACAAACCACGCAGGCCCCTCGCCAAGCATCCCAGTCCATAGCCCCCTCAAGAGCTCTCGTCACCAGAGACGCCATTGAGACAACAGCTGTGCGCACTCCTGTTGCAGCTCAGCCCTTGCCAGCTAGCGCCGCTGCTGCTGCTGCTGCTGCTGGCGCTGCATCTCCTCCTGTAGATGCACGTGCAGGGAAGGAGGAGCCCGAAGAGGACGATCCGGATCGTGGTTTAGGGCTGAACCTCAGGCTTACACTGTGACGTCTATTGCAGACCGTATACTTGCAATTGTTTTCCTTTCCTTAGGTATTGTTGCTTACATTAGCTGCTCCTGCTGTCATATACACTTGATCCTAGGTTATGTCTCTAGTAGAGGCTCTGCTTGTAGTGGTTGTGGTATAAATACCGAACTAGTGGAACTAAAATACTAAATAAAGTGGTAGTGTGTTTTGCATTTGCTTTGCACTACGGAACTGTTTTCTCCTTCTCATGCAAGACATGGAAGAGTGAAGGCTTACACGATCTACATGGTGTCTAATTACCAGTACCCGGTATTAGTGTTGTGTTGTCTTAGCAAGTGATCGCCTCGACTCGCACCACAACTTGGCTAGTGCACGGGTGCAAGAACGTATGCGGAGCTGCGTGTTCTCCATATGAACCACCAGGTGAATCACGACAGGGGCACCAAGTTGGCACTAAATGACCATGTACACGCTGTTGGGCTGAGAAAAGCCCTTAGGATCGTTTTCAAGACTAAGGCTCAGAACAGTGATGTATTAGCGGAAGCGTCTTAGTGAACTGGTTGAACGACCTTGCACTGGTATGTGAGAACAAGATAAGTTGATAATAGCAAAGAGATACAAAACTTTTTATGATTACAAAGGAATGTGAAAGATTTAACTAACTGTATCTACTGTTGCGGTTCGATACAGCGACGACTCGGGTAACTGCTCAATAGCGAGTCAGTTATGTGTCCTTGCTGTCGCGCTGCTTTTCGGCGAGTCAAAGGTCCCTGACCTTTGACCTTCACTCAACCTCTTGCAGTTGTCTTCCTGTCAACCGCTTTGGTTGACCCGCTTGTTGCTTCCCTGTAGTTTTCTTCGCTTGCTTTGTAGCACTCGACACATCAGAAGCGCGAACTATATGTTTCCAACACCCCCGTTCGCTTCTGGAGTGTCATCGCCTTCGTTGCTGGTGACGTGGTCTTGTCCAGTCAGTAGCATGCAGTGCTTGAACTTCTGCTTTCCGAGTTTCTTGGTCAAGTAATCTGCGGTGATCTCGGACGTGGGACAGTAGGATAGCTCGAGTCTCCCTCTCTCGATCTCGTCCTTCACGAAGAAATAGCGCAGGGCAATGTGCTTCATTCGGTTCGCGAACCCACTCTTGTTTGCTATGCGAATTGCAGATTGGTTGTCGCAGAAGAGGGAGAAGTTGGGTAACTGGGCCAGCTTTGCTTCTTCCAGTAGTTTGCGAAGGTACAGTCCTTCCTTGGTGGCTGAACAGATTGCTATGTATTCATCTTCAGCAGAGGAGAGAGCAATTAGTTCTTGCTTGCTCGACTGCCACGAGATAGGACCGACGTGTCAAACTGTATGTTTGTGTTCTCTCTAGGCTATAGTGGGTTAGCCTACAAGGGGTACAACACTTCAGGGTTAGTACTTGTACCCAACTCATTCATAGTTCATTCATTCCCGCACAGTTATTCTGACATGGTATTCAGAGTAGGAAACATGTTAAGTTTTTAAGCACGCCAGCGCGCCCCGCAGCCTAGCGCGCCAGTGCGCCCCGCAGCCCAGTGCGCCAGCGCGCCCTGCTGCTAAGCGCGCCAGCGCGCCCCGCAGCCCAGCGCACCAGCGCGCCCCGCTGTTAAGCGCGCCAGCGCGCCCCGCAGCCCAGCGCGCCAGCGCGCCCCAATGCGAAGCGCGCCAGCGCGCCCCGCTGCTAAGCAGGCCAGCGCGCCCCGCAACCCTAAATAATAATAATAATAATAGTCATAAAAAAAAAAGACAAAAAAAAACAAACCCAGCGCGCCCTGCTGCCCACCGCGCTGCTATTGCTGCGCCGTGCCCTGTTGAGCAGTGCTGCCCAGGCCGAGCCACGCTGCCCAGCCCGAGCCGCCCTCCTGCTACTACTGCTGCTGCTCGTGCTACTGGTGCTACTGGGAGTGCTGAAGGAGCCGCCGCCCAGCCCCACCGAGCCGCCCTCCTGCTACTACTGCTGCTGCTGCTGCTCGTGCTACTGCCGCTGCTGGTGGAGGTGCGGCTGGGAGTGCTGGAGGTGCTGCTGGTGCTGGAGGTGCTGGACCTACTACTGACCGTCACTGCCTGTCATGGCCACTATCACGGCAGTTGCAGCGGCTAGGGGTGGACAGCAGCTGTCACTGCCTCTCCTGGACGACCCCACCCCTCAGCAGCTTCGTGAGTGGGTTATTCAGCGATGTAGTCCTGATGGTGGAGGTTTTGGTATTATGTGGCCTCAGCGACCTCGTGACTGTGCTTCTCATCGATAAGTCCCTGGTCGTTTAGAGGCCGCTGCTCTCGGTTCTAGTGAGTCTGCTGTCGCTCAAGGTGCTGGTGAGTCTACTGCAGCTCTAGGTGCTCGTGAGTCTGCCGACGCTCTAGGTGCTAGTGCGTCTACTGCCACAGGTCCTGCCTCAGCTGAGGCCTTGCACACTTTCACGCTTGACTCAGGCGCGTCACGTTGCTTCTTTCGTGATTGCACTACAGTCACACCACTCGCAGCACCTGTCCCAGTCTCACTGGCTGACCCCACTTGGGGCCCAGTAGTTGCGCGAGCCTCCACTGTCCTCCCGTGTCCGGCAGTCCCCTCCGTTTCTCTCTCAGGTCTCCACCTCCCCACGTTCTCGACGAACTTGGTGAGCAACGCTGCAATTCAGGATGTCTGGGTTGATACCTTTATTCCTGGAGGGCAGCGTGTGGCGATCTGTACGTGCTCTCGGACTGGCCGTCACCTTGCTACGTTCACTCGACGGCCTGGGTCTAGTCTGTACACACTGACCACTGAGTCTGCACAGGTGGCTGAGTCAGGTCAGGTGGCTGTGTCGAGTCAGGTGTCTGCGTCTGGTCGGCTTGCAGCGTCTTGCTCGTGTCGGGTACTCTCCCACCAGACTCTCCTCTGGCACCACCGCATCGGTCACCCCTCGCTGCCGCGTCTCCGCAGCATGCACTTCCGTCTCCTTCTCTCTGGGCTTCCCAGGTCCCTGCCCTCCCTCCCGCGCTCGCCTGCACCGCCCTGCCTTCCCTGCGTCGAGGGGCGGCAGCGCGCCGCTCCTCACTCCTCCGAGTTTCCTCCGACCACTGCTCCTCTGCAGACTCACCACATGGACGTTTGGGGCCCGGCCCCCGTCGGTGGAACGGACCAGGAGAGCTACTTCCTGCTGGTTGTTGACGACTACACACGCTACACCATTGTCTTCCCCTTGCGGCACAAGGCGAACGTCAGCGGTGTTTTGATCCCTTGGATCCGTGCTACTCGTCGCCAGCTGCGCGAGCGGTTTCGTCGGGACTTGCCAGTCTTGCGTCTGCACTCTGACAGGGGCGGTGAGTTCTCTTCCGGCCTCCTTGAGGAGTTCTGTCGAGACGAGGGCATCTGCCAGACGTTCACGCTTTCGGCCTCTCCTCAGCAGAATGGGATTGCTGAGCGTCGCATTGGCTTGACCATGGAGGTTGCTTGTACCTCCATGATCCATGCGGCTGCTCCCCATTTTCTGTGGACGTTTGCGGTCCGATACGCTGGGCATCAGCTCAACCTTTGGCCCCGTGTCTCTGAGCCAGAGACCTCGCCCACCCTCCGGTGGACGGGGAAGGTTGGCGATGCGTCGGTGTTTCGGGTCTGGGGCGCGCTCTCCCTTGTTCGCGATGCCAAAGCGAGCAAGCTCTCCTCTCGCACTCTCCGCTGCGTCTTCCTTGACTTCCCCACCGACGCCCCGCCGTGGCAGTTCTACTACCCACGCGACCGTCGCGTGTTCTCCTCCCATGACGTCACCTTTGACGAGTCGGTCTGTTTCTAGAGACTACACCCGCACGCGTCCCACCCGGTCCCCCTAGCGCCTCTCTTCCTGGTACCAGTCCCCCCCCCGGTAGACCCCCTCCCCCCACAGGGTCCTGTTCCCTCAGGTGTGTCTCAGGTAGACCCACCCCCCTTGGTTGAGCCTTTGGAGATCTCTTCTGACTCCTCTGGCTCAGCTGAGGGGGGTGACCCCGCCGCTGACAACACGGCAGTCACTCGCCGCTCTCCACGCTTGGAGATCCCCCCTGGTTTTCCGCCTCGGCCGACTTCGCCGCCTCCGCAGCCTGCTGCTGTGGACTCTGGAGTTGAGACTGCTGGTGCTGAGCCTGGGGGTGCTGAGACAGAGGGTGAGGGTTCTGGGGGTGCCGCGACTGGGGTTGCTGCGACTGGGGGTGCTAGTTCTGGGGGTGCTGCGACTGGGGGGGCTGACTCTGGGGGTGCTTTGAGTCCTAGTGGTGGTGGAGCTGTGGGTGACCCTGCTGGAGGTCCTGGAGCTGGACAGCCACCGCAGCTTGATCTACTTGAGACGCTCTCGCCGCAGGCGATTCGTGCGTGGATCGTTCGGCGAGGCAGTCCTGATGGTGGAGGGTACGGTCCTGCTGGTGCTGGAGCTGCTAGTCCTGGAGGTACTGCTGGTGCTGGAGGTACTCGAGGTACTGCTGGAGGTGCTGGAGGTGCTGCTGGTGCTGGAGGTACTAGAGGTGCTGCTGGTACTGGAGGTGCCGGAGCTACTAGTCCTAGAGGTGCTACTGGTGCTGGAGGCGCTGGAGCTGGAGGTACTGGAGGTGCTGGTGCTACTGGTGCTGGAGCTGCTGGAGCTGCTGGTCCTGGAGGTACTCGTACTGGAGGTGCTGGAGCTACTGGAGCAGGTGGTGCTGCTGGTGCTGGAGGTGCTGGAGGTGCTACTGGAGCTGCTGGCGCTGGAGGTGCTGGAGGTACTGCTGGTGCTGGAGGCGCTGGAGCTGGAGGTACTGGAGGTGCTGGAGCTGCTGGTCCTGGAGGTGCTCGTACTGGAGGTGCTGGAGCTGCCGGAGCAGGTGGTGCTGCTGGTGCTGGAGGTGCTAGAGGTGCTACTGGAGCTGCTGGCGCTGGAGGTGCTGGAGGTACTGCTGGTGCTGGGGGCGCTAGAGCTGGAGGTACTGGAGGTACTGCTGGTGCTGGAGGTACTGGAGGTGCTGGCGCTGCTGGTCCTGGAGGTGCTCGTACTAGAGGTGCTGGAGCTGCCGGAGAAG